TCCGCAGTGGCGTAAGCACCGGGGGACAAGGAGAAAATATCCATCTGTGGAAAATCTTTCCCCATTGAATGCCCTTTTCACCCGGGAAAGTACCTGAAAACCTCAAATTTTAAATCGCATATTTTGTTGAGGTAGGCCAGTTTCCTCTAAAAATTGTACATTTTAGGGAGTTTTGATCAATTCCGACGAAATTAGAATTAAAAAAAAACAAAAAATTTTCGAAGTTATAACACATATTCCCAAACTCAAGAAAGAAAATTTAAGATAGATCGTTTCACCTAAAAGAAGGGCCTCAATGTGTAATGATGGTGAAAGAATAGGCCTATGATTGTAATAAATAAAACCACGATGAAAATGCTTAGTTTTAAACACACGTGTGTGCCCTATATTAATAATAAAATAAGCCCTATGTCGTTAAAATAAGCCATGCCGTATTGTTTTCTATATGGGGGTGGGGGGTATCACACCAAGTCTTAAATTACTAACCGGGAAAATTATTACCTTTGGCCCCCCCCCCCCGACCCAACACCCCTGTTACGCGCCTTCTTATAGGTGGGGCCCCCCCCCCACTTTGAAAAACGTTCCGCCGGCCCTGTCATTTACATGTTAAATCAACTAACTATTGATTGTATCTTTGCAATCCCTTGCAATTTATTAAATCCTGAATAAAATATCACATCACAAACCAACAATTGTATTACCGGTATTGGTATTAATCTTGTTCAAGAATAACATGATTTATTGATTGGTCTAATTAAAGTGTTCGTTTGCGTTTCGATCTTTACTTGACGCACAAGACCATGTTTATCTGGAATTGTCTCGATGACTTTTCCTAAGGGCCATGAATTTCTAGGGGCATTTGAATCGACAACTACCAATACAGCATCTCCGTTTTGCAAGTTCTTTTTTGTAACGGTCCATTTTTTACGCTCTTGTAGCAACACTCGCGTATCCACCGTTTCCAGAAAACGTTGCTCATTGCACTTGTCTCCAACGTCGTCTGCAGTACAGATCGTTCTCCTTAAACAAGCCGGGTGCTAAACTTGGTTAGGATTTCAGCAACAGCAAATGATTTGGAGGTAAAGCTTCTGGGTCATTAGGGTGACTAGATAACTTAGTTTAATATAGGTCTTTCGTTGATTATTGACTGCACTTCGCACATTGCGTTCTAAATCCCGGTCCTCGCTTTATCTCTGTTCTTTTACTAAATTGTTCATAATTTTTCGAACAGATCTTATTTGATGCCCCATACGCCACCGTGATGAGTTCTCGCTGGTATGTTAAATCTCCAGTCGATATTACGTTATTATAACTTTATATGCATTTAGTTTTGTAATCGCTGCCTTCAGTTCACGTTCGGCACCTACAAAGTTAGTCCGTTATCTGATCTTATTTTTTTAACTTGGCCTCGACGAGCTATAAATCTACGCAACGTGTTAATATACGAATCGGTGTCCAATGAGTCGTCTACTTTATGCAGTGGCGTAACTAAGTTGTGAGGGGCCCTGGTTCAAAAATACAGCCTGGGCCCGTGACGCGTGGAAATTGACTGACCATGTAAGAAAGAGGGTACCATTTATATACTATTTTGACAATAAATCTTTCGATTTTTTTAAAGTTTTTAATTTTCAGATATTCTTAGAGGGCTTGACTAACCATAATAATAATAAGCATTTCTCTTCTTATGACCAAAAGAAAAAGCACATTTTTATTGAATTGGTCTATATTATTTATCGAATTGACCATTGAACACTGTCAACAATTATATTTTATATAACTTTTATATACATAAACTAAAAGGGATCACACCTGACATCATTAGAATGTGTGACCGTGATCATGCAAAACACTTATCCGATAAATATGGCAGCCAAACACCTTTTAAAATGGTCCTTTTAAAAGAATACTAATACTAAATAAAATAATTAAAAAAGTACATTATTAAATACACATTTTCTTCATCCCAGACCTCAGATAATTTCTTTAAATCCCACAAAAACCTGTAAAAAAGTATCACTAAAACTCGATAATGAAATACATTAATTTTTGCACTTTTTTGTTTGTTTGTTTTTTTTCTTCTAATCTTTTCTCGGCTTATTTAACAGCAAGAAAAAAAAAACATTTTTTTTTTCTTTGCGAGATCTCAACATATCAAGTACTTTGACCTCCAGGTCAACCTTGTAACTTTGCTTAAAGGTAGGCCTATATGGGAGTGATAGTACCCGTACCCCGTATAATAATAATAATGTTATATTTATATAGCGCATAGGCCTATTGCACATTGCCCTTATGAGCTTTACACAGAAATAATATAGGCCAGCCGAAAAAATACAAATAATAAAATAACAACAATAAAATAATACAGTAAACAAAATAATAAGTACATTAAAATGATGAATGGATTAATTGTTAGGCATATTTTGATAGGGTCTGTGATTGTGGTTATAAAAGGATGAAATAAGTAAGTATAATTGTTAATATTTAACATGACTCGCCAATGTTTGTCATTTTGGTAGGTTATCGTTAGTTTTCTAACAGCAACTTTTTTTGGAATGCAAACCATTTTGGTTTTAGAGGAGCAAACACATCTTAAAAACGGATAAGTGTCCTATTTCTGTTCTTTCTCATTTTTTTTAATACCCTTTTAATTAAAATTATTATAACTATTTAAAACTATTGTCCGACCTTACTGAATATAATGTTCCACTTTATCATTAAAAGGGTCGTATTTCCTCACTTGAGAAATTCAATGAAGGATTACTTGTTTTTCGTCCCTCTTTGAATTATCCTGTACTGTACACAAACTTCAGTATCCTTGGTTTACGTTCTGTTGAGGATCGTTTAAAGTTTCTCTACCTCATTTGTCACAAAATGCATTGATAGTTCAGTATTTATAAGTTTTTTTAAATTTTAAATTTTATTAACGTTATATAAGTTTATTGATTTCAGATGTATTCATAACTATGCCAGGACTGGTTGTTTCAAATCAGGTGCTCTCAACTATATCACAATAGGGGCAAAATTGTTCATTGAAACAACTTCAATAGAGCAATCAAAGTAACGAATAAACGGGCTCAGATATTATCAGAACTGTAAAGGTCACGATGGCAAGATAAAACTGATAATAGACATATCGTCGTCATTGTTTTCTAATCTTTTCTCGGCTTATTTAACAGCGAGAAAAAAAAAACATTTTTTTTTTTCTTTGCGAGATCTCAACATATCAAGTACTTTGACCTCCAGGTCAACCTTGTAACTTTGCTTAAAGGTGTTGTATATATGGGAGTGATAGTGCCCGTACAAGCCTAAAAACTTCGATCAGAGCATGCCTTGTTATGTTCACAGCAGACCGAAGAGATCCCCATAGGACTTGGTCGCCAGGAGTGAGTGGGTGGGTGTGTGGGTGTGTGTAATGTTCATGAGGGACGACCCTCACACAGGGAGAATTTTTTTTAAAAGAGGGGCATCGGATTCTTCCGGTATGACTCAAAAACATTATAAGGCCTATACACAAAAATGCCCTGTACATAATGTTAAGAGTGGGCCCAGCTGAAGTAAGACTCTACACAATATCCGCTTTCGCTTGAAAAGTATGCAATCGGCATCTTGGATTTTTTGAAAATCGACTGGTTTAGGCAACGTAGTATGCGGAACGAAGACAGCTTTTGAATGTCGTCTAACCATTCTTTCCACTACACATCATACAAGGACATCTTGACCTAAGAAAGTTACCCTTAATTGTTGTGTTTGATAATGCAAAAGTCAAAATGTTATACATCACACAATGGGTCATTAGTAATACAGTAGAATATTTCTTTGCTGTTTGCTGCGATAGTTCTTCTGATTTGATTGATTAAATCGCTGCAATTTCTGAGGCAATATAATAGGCCTATAGTCGGCAAAACAATATGCAAAATAAGGTTAGAAATCTAGGCCCAAGCCTAACGGAAAAATATTATTTTCGGTTTGTTCTCGCGAGCCGCATAACAAGCACTCGTGGGCACCTGTTATAAATATTCTATTTGTAATTATTTTCCTGTCTTTGAGATGATTTACTGACTGATGTGCGAGAAAAACTTATTTTAAATGAGACGAATAAATGGAATGAAAAAATAAAATTATTCTGGTCATGTTTCGGCAGTTTATGGAAAATTTTTAGCTGCCTATCTTGTCCAAGGTCTTCTCAATATTGGCCGTTACTATGTGGCAAAGTCAACAGGGGCGGATCCAGAGATGTCGCAAAGGGGGGGGGGGCGATCGAAATAACACCACCCTATGGGGTTCTGGGGCATGCCCTCGCAAAATTTGTGTTTTCTGGACGCCCGAAAATAACCTCTGAGGCGTTTTGAGCGATCATTTTTTTTCTTTTTCTTTCTTTGTTTTCCCCCTTTTCTTACTTTCCAAAAGGGGAACCAGGACCCGCCCCTCCCTAAATCTTCCCCTGGTCAATCCTGATATATACAAACACATCAAAAAGGTGCAAAAACACAAATAATAACTCGTATTGGAACATTTTTTTGGACCATTACACACAGAGCAAAAAATAAATTAAACTGGTGTAAATGCCTTGAAGTATAACATAAAATACCAGACACAAAATATCTCTTCTTTATTTTTATTGTCTATCTATATTGTTTCCTTTGTTTACTTATAAAATCTAACATAATTATGTGTACACAGTGCAGTACTGTACTATGAAAAAGAAAAATAATCATCTGATAGACCAAGTCATTGTTCAGTATAAAAATATCTTTTGTAGACAAAACCCATTAACCTAAAAAATAATTCACATAGAATCTACAGGGCAGAAAATCAAAATTCATACTTTCAATCTTCATTTTCATATTATTCTGAGATATAGTGCTGGATTACCATTTACATAAAACACTTGAATCATGATTTCAAACTATCAATGTTCTAAGAGTCCCTGTATGTTGTTTCTCTAATTTCTAAATCTCTAATTTGCTAGCATATTAAATGAGAATGCCTTTCCTATCTCCTAGATGACATTTACAATAGTTGGCTGACATATTTTTAACTAGTATCTGGTTAATTGTTACTGGAAAGTTTTCTTTGTTGGTTATACCCAAAATGATGTGTGTGGAAAAAAGCCAATAAGGCAAAAAAAAGTATAACTGGTTTTGTAGTATATGCTGGAAAGATATGATCAGCAGTATTGAAACAGAAAGAGGCCAAGTTGGATCAGTTCTTGTACGTCAGTCTATAACCATACCTCAGAACCATCAAAATACTACAAGAAAAAAAAACACAGAAAATCATAAAAATTCAATTTGTGTGTCTTGATTTATTTGTGGGGTGGGGTTGCTGTATACTGTATTTTGCTTCTAACTGAAAATTGAGATAAAAACAGTTCTCTTATAATTAAATTAAAATCTTTCTTTATTCTGGAAATACTCTTTCAATACATAAGTACTGGTCTTCCAAGGTCTGGAAACAACAGTAAAACAATCAAACAACAAAGTAATTTTTTTTTTTTGGGGGGGGAAGAGGGTGTGTGTGTGGGGATTGCTGTATACTGTATTTTGCTTCTAAATGAAAATTGAAATAGAAACAGTTCTCTTATAATTATATTTAATTTTTTCCTTATTCAGCAGCAGCACTTTTGAGATTAACAATATAGAATTTATTCTCTAGCTTTCGTCCACACAGTGGACTTCATCAGGAGACGGTACAAATTGGAAAACAACTATAATAAACAACAGAAATGATGGGGGAGGTCCTACAACAACAAAGTATGCAAATGTGGTGGATAAAGCATACTAAGACCATCTAGTCTACCAAAATAAACAATCCTAAAAACAATATTGAAAGAACAAAAGATCAATGATAAGAAAGTGTGGAAAATAGCATACAGTAAAGTCTATGTCAATACTCATCCAAAAAACAATTGCATCAAAAATAAAAATATATAAATACCAAATATATAAGCTCAATAAAATCCAGAGATTAAGATGGTAGAAAAAAATGATAAATACAGTTAACTGACAGTGTAACAGTATGGTAATTAATATATCAAGAAAAAATATATATATATAATAATAAAGCAGCTACAAAAATATGTTATGCATACACTATGGGGAAAAAAAAAATTATTGACGGTAATGTGCGAGGAATCCACGATCAATGTTAAGGCCTAGTTCTATACAGTCTAATTGTGTAATTATTTTCTGTTCTGCTATTTCTCGTTCTAAATTATTTAAAAAAAATTCTTTCTTAACTACTTGAACTTTCACATTATTTACTGAGTGGCCAGAAGATGCAAAATGATTAGCTACAGGTTTCTGGGTGAGTTTGTGTTTGATGTCATGTTTATGACCATTAATCTGTGATAGATAACTCTACTGGTGATCTCCGATAGCAACACCAGTGGAGTTTACTATCAAGTAGGATGTGCTAATTGTGACAAAGTTTACCATCCGCCTAGGTGAACACAATAAAGAGGTTGGAGAAAACATTAACAAGTGAGCACAGACGAGAGCTATGAGGGGTTCGGTCTCAGAGGACAGTTTCAAATCGGCCATCACAGGATATGGTAAAACATAATCACATTCCAGACTCGAAACACCCCAAGGTACTAGAAAAGGAAGAGGATCTCGAAAGTAGAAGGATCAAAGAATCCATATAGATCAGGAAGACAGACAACAACAGTGGGGTATATTAGTATATAGCGACGTTACATCCATTGTTGCAAGTAAGGTGTTTTATATATTGTTCAAGTCTGTTGTGTCTGATTACCAGGCCCATTAATGACCTTATTTATTCTGGAAATACTCTTATACATAAGTATTGGTCTTCCAAGAGGTCCAGAAACAACAGTAAAACAATCAAGTAACAAAGTAAATATGTTATAAAATCAAGATAGGTGGTTAGTTAAATACTCTTAAAAGTTATTTAATGTATTGGTGTCAAATTTGCAGGGGATATCTAATAGGAGCTCATTCCATAATTCCCATGCCCTGTAAATGTAGGTTCTTTTTCCTTGTACTGGTCCAGATTGGGATATTAGTAGTGTATTACAAGATTGATTTCTTTTATTTTTGGAACGGACAGTATTAGTAACTTTAAGTTTTGAAGAAATATATACAGGAGTCTCATTAAGGGGCCTGGTAATCAGACTACCAAAGATTAAAACTGCATCATGAAACCGTTCTTGGCTGGACTTGATTCTATGCACAAGAAGGGTCTGACAAAGTATCCAAATCAAACAAAATTACCCAAATGATACCAAAATGAAAAGCAATTATTTAAATGAATTCCTTATCGAATCAAAATTACTGAATGAATCGGATATACTCAAATAAAATTCTCAAATGAAGCTAGATAAAACGCAAGTGAGAGTGTTGTGCCCAGTTAGTGGCGTTAATACCAAGCTACACTAATATAGATGTTATTGGTGCCACACAACAATTATATAATTATTTTGGACTATTAATTCATTTCTATTAGTTGTATTAAGTTGCATATCTACTCGCCTCAGAGTGGCTACTAATCCTGCCGGCATGAACTTTCCACTCTTCACGAACCTCATACCCATCACACCTGCCAACACGGCGGAGCTTCCTGTTGAAAAAAAAAACAAAGTATCTACAGTAGTGTCTCTAACAAAAGGCAAGGGCACATACAAAAATTTGTTGAATTGACACTCCCGTCTGTGTCAAAAATTTGGCAAATATTGATGTGAGAATAAAAAAATAAACATTTACTTTCCCGCATCATTTATTTTAAAAAAAAACAATTCAATTTTGTGACTGGAAATAAATTTTCTTTAAAAAACCATATAATTAAACCAGTTTTTATACAATATTTACAATATTCTTGCCAAATAAAAAACACCTGTTCTCATCACTTAAAAAAAAAAAAAGTGATAATCTAATAATTTCTTCTATGTGCCCTAAGATCACATATATAACGGTGAAAATTTAAAGGGGTGCACACTGTCTTTAACTCATGCTTATCACATTATTACCCTTGAAACTGGAACAAACAGCAATAAAAGATACCATAATATTGCAGTACCAATCAGTGCAGGGGCAGATCCAAAGATGCCTGAAAAAGGGGGGGGGGGCATGATTTTATTTCTCCATGTGTAAACCAAGGTGCTGTAACTTAAGTTAACCAACTTCTTCTAACATTCAACTTCTGTCATATAAGCTCAGGCATTTACATGCAGTAAAATAATTCTGGAAGAATGCTGTACAAAAAATAATATATTACATTGAACAGAGATCTCGTTCATTAACCAGGACATGTTATGCGCTTACCTAGTATGACGTTTACATTCCTTGGGTCCTGAGAAGTTAACGATGCACCATACCCCGCCACACCACCAAAAAGAAGCCCCATGGCAAGAGACATTGCACTACCTAAAATATTTTAAGAACAACATTAAAAAATATCATTATTAATATTATTATTATAAAAAACGCCGTGGCTAGAGATACGGTACCATATTTCTACTTTCGTCTGCTAAAGGTACGGTAAATGGCATTACGTCACCATCACCCAATTAAGTGCCAGAATGTGCGTAACATCATCATTCAAGACTGGAATTGCAGATAACTCACGAGTCATGACGATAAGCGGTGAAACGCGAACAATGTACTGTAGTGGGTAATTAGAACATCAAAAAGTACAATACTGTAATTAGTACTGTCATAGATAAATAGGTGTATGGTTGCACTCAGTAGAGTCATGTAATTTATATATATATAGCTATATTATTTAATAATTTAATTTTTTAATTTTGCACAATTTAAAAACAGATTATTATAATTACAGTATTATATCAAACAACAACTGAATCCTGTACCAAACTCTTGCCTTGCATTGCATTAGTCTTAGCTAGTATTCTTAAATAGTAAATAGTCCTTGTTTTTTTCTTTTATTATTTTTTATTGTTTACAGTCTGGGCCTAGCTAGGCTAGTTAGGGGCCAGGTACGCTAGTCCCCTACTAGGCCTACTACTACTACTAGCCTACTAGGCCTAAGCATCATTCTATACATAGAGCCTAAGCCTAGGCAGGATTTTTTAGCATGCACCGTTAACGGTTGGCGTTAGTATTCAATTCAATTCAAAATAAATTTATTCCAAATCTTTTCCAAGCATAGATTAAACAGTACAGATATAAAAATGGAAATTGAAAGGGCAACCACAAACAAGCAGAGCTTTACACTTGTGGCACCCGAAAAAAGGTAATTAAGATACTATTTCAAATTGACAATGTAAGTAAAGGTATACATTTTAGTTAAAGCACATTCATATCATAGATCAAAATAATAATAATAATAAAAAATATAAATAATATGTCGGTCTTAGATAGCAATTAACACTTTAAAATTATATAAATAATTAAATAGCAGCAATAAACCAACATTATGCACTTATTTATACATCATTGACTAATATTATTGACGAATTTCTTTACAAATAATACAATTGTTCCCGTCTTGGCAGTGGTACTGTTTCATTATAACTTTCATGATAAATATTATTCATTTTGTTCTTAAATAGTGAAATATTAGCACATGCTCTTATATTACTTGATATGCTGTTCCACACCTTAGACGGCCCTATATATACGAGATTCCTTGTCGGCCAACATTTGTGCATTTTAAGTCGATAAACAAGGCAAGGACCAGGTTTTGCTTATTTCGCGTATTATGATTATGGTACGAGTCAAGTGTACGGAACAACAAATCAAAAGATTCAGGTAATAAACCAGTAGGGTTTAGTAGGGAAGTAGATAGGGCTAGGACTAGGCTAGGTAGAGTTAGCTGAGCTAGGCCTCCTAGGCCTAGGAGGCCCAGGGCTAGTTAGTAGGGGGCCTAGGTCCAGGCTAGCTAGGTTATATTTACTGTTTAATTCTTTACTTTATTTAGTCTTAGACAGCCTAGGCTAGGCGGCCTAGTCTAGGGTATACCTGCTTTCACGTAGCCTACCACACCGCCTACTGCTACAACAACAGCGTAACTAAACCCTACAATATCAGCCATATTTCTTGGAAATCTTATACGTTTATGACAACGGTGAATGGTGGGTGGGATTAACTGGGATTAGTCGAACGGATTATCTTCCCTCTCTCTTTCGGTGGACGATGATGGCGCTAGGCTATATCTTAACGAAAAAAAAACATAACGTGTCGCGTACGTAGGCCTAGCCTAAACACAAACAAAACAGCACACTCGGTTTGTTGCTTAATTAGTCACTCGTACACCGGACTTCATGCTGAGAGCATTACTATACTAAACGATAGGTTTTTATGGTGTATCTGGTGTCCGGGTCTTTGCAAGAGTGCTACCATTTGAGTACTATTGTGTTTATACATTGGAGTATTGTCGCCCTAGGAATACATCCTATTGGATAAAGGTAAGCTCCACTCGGTACCTTTTATATCACAGTATTTATATATATAGGCGATAAATACTACATTAGTAATATTGCTACAGACCTAGGCCTATCCTACCTAGGCTAGCCTAAGTACTAGGCCCTAGGCCTACTAGGCCTAGGCCTAGTAGTAGTACTAGGCCTAGAGGCCCCATCCTACAACAACAGTGTATAGGCTACACTAGGTCTAGGCCCTAGGCTAGCTAGCTAGCCTAGCCTAGGATTCCTTTGGCCTAGGCCTAGAGGAATAGCGGCCTACCTGGGCCTAGCCTAGGTAGTGTAGGCCTAGTAGGGGTGGTAGTAGGCCCTGCCTATAGGCTATGCTAGGCCTAGCAAGTTGCGCTTTATCAAGTAGATGTTGGGCACGTCTCTTACTTCTTCTTACTTGTATTCTTTGGCCGTTGTGAAGCATAAATGCTTCCCATCTCGATGGGTGTCCTACTTCTGTAATGTATCATACATGCCAAGTTTGATTTTGACTAATTATAATTTGCAGGTGTGAGATTTTCGACCGAAAAACCCCTCCCCTAGGGCCAACAAGCCGGCATTATTTTCCCCATACAGTTAAGGCAGAAATTATAGAGGGCGCTATTTAAGGTCAGTTAATAAACATGAATATGCATGCTTAATTTCTGCCTCTCGGTAAAAGACGTGTTCACTTTTCGAGTGTTTGCTGCTTGTGAAATCTGCAGCGTTGAAATAGCATACATGTAGGAATACCAGTCAATTCGAGTGAATGCCAGTTCGAGTGGACATCAGTTTGAGCGGATGCATTTAGTGCGAACTATAACGAGCGAATTTATCTTCGCCCTATTCTTTTAACCTGGTTTTCCATTAGGCGAATTTTATTCATGCAAATCAATGCGTCGGTTCGCTTCCAGAGCTCTGATTGGTTACGCATTTATTCCCTTTGCAAAAACTCTGATAGGAATGTGCATGAACCGACGCTTTCGATTCACGCGAATAAATTCGCCTACTAGTGGCAATGCAATTTTTATTCTTAATTTTTTTCCACAGCAACTACCGACTGTGCCCCATACACAGATGCCCTATCTTTTGTCATCGTAAAATTTCCCATTGCCTAAAACATCGAAAATGCTGTACATCTCCGAAAAAGTACATTATGTTGACTTATAATCTAATAATAAGTTAATATCAGTATCAATATATAAATATAAATGTCACATTTTACAACAATTGCTGAAAGAAACCTTGTGAAGTTTGCGTACTGGGCACACCGTTTAAAACTGTGCGGAACACAGACTCAGCAATGCAAACCATATACTGTACAGTAATTTTTTTAAACATTAGTTTTGAATTATAACTGTTAAGGTATAGGCATAAACCTACATGTACTACTACTATCAAATGCCATCCATTTCACCTGTGAACCCATAGTTTGAATAGCAGGGAAATAAGTGATACAGGGTGTGGAGGAGAATAATACCCTAGGCCTAGTGCTGTTCCTGTTTTTGGGCATTGGAATGTTCAAAATATAAACAGTTTGTTCAACTTCATTTTTGTTTTACAGATATGGTAAGATTACTGTTGAAGTAAATGCAGACAGAGGTCTTCTGCAAGATTATTGACATAATACTATAGACTAAGGGCTGCCTTGGTGTAGACAAACCAGCATCATGGCTGATGGTGTCCTAGAGGTGTGGGTTCGAGACCAGCTACATGATATCCTTGGTATCAGTGATCGCTATATAGCAGAATATCTGATTGGACTTGCCAAGAAGTCATTCACCTCAGAAGCTTTTGTAGACACCCTACAGAAAACTGGAGCAATTGAAGTCGATAATCGAACCATTGCATTTGCCAGTCAACTGTGGATGAAGGTTAGTCTTTTTCGCAGGTTTTGGTTTTTTTTTTCTAATAATTGAAATCCATCTGTTAAATACCCTTGTACAGTTTGTCACTTAGTGTTTTTTCATATGATTTTAAATACAAGTGTTGTTTCATATTTAGACACCCAACTTAGGATTTTAAACCGGGGTCCCAAGTCTCCCGGAACTTTCGGGAGTCTCCTGGAAATCAGGATGGCCTTCCACACACCTGCAAGCAAGCAAGAATCTCCCAGAAATTAACCCATCTCCGCACATTCATAATTTCGCATGTCATTCGTGGCCATCTAATAGGTGCAATAATCATAAATTTTCTTACCTCAGCTCACATCCACACCCTACTCTGGACCGTCACCAAAATTTAATCATTTTTTCATTGGGTCATACCTAACACTCCCTATTATTTTAAATTATGTCTGCAGCTGTTTTTTGAGATATTTCGAACACAAAAAAAAAAAAACATGAAAACTGAAAAACGTGCCACACATACACAAACTTACAAGACCGAAAACATATCTGTCCTGGCGGAGATAATAATGTTAATAATAATAATAATAATAATAATAATAATAATAATAATAAATTAGTAATAATAATTCATGTTCATGAAATGAACAGAGGGTAAATTGTTAAGACAATTTTTCAGCATTAACTGTCTTTAGCATTTATGACTTTCGCATTTATGTCAAAACACACTGAAGTATAGCTACACTTGGTCTTGTCAAAATTCATTCAATGCAAACATGGCTTTAGGAAAAAAAGACAGTATAATCATAAATTTGAACCATTAGCCTTTGAGATATTTTTTTTTTGTATTTTAATAGATACCCCGCAAAGTAAGCTCATCTGTTGTCAATAGAGCAATGGAGAAAGCAGCCATCAGTCAGCATCAGCAGAATCAAAAGTACCAGATATTGTCATCAGATGATGATGTTGACATAGTAGAGACAAAACCATCAACCAAAAAGGTAATTAATAAATATTGATATGTTCAAATAGCACATACTAGCCTTTAGGAGGTGTGTGCTTTACAATTTACAAACAACAAATTAAGAAAACAAAGAGAGCTTTTTTTTGTTTCGTATTTATTTTAAGTACCGTAATTTATGTCAACATTTTTTACTGCTTGTTTTTTATTGGTGTAATGCGCATTGAGGTTTTTTGTTTTCTGCGGAATGTGCTATAAAAGAATGGCGTTATTATTATTATAACATATGATATCCACGATGTAATAAATGAAAACATTAGTGATATTTTGTCATTTTCTTTTTCTATTTTCCAAGTAAATATTCACAACATAAATTAGTAACATCATTGCTGATTTGTTTATTGTCAGTTATATTTTAATTTGTTTATAGTCAATCAAGTCCAAAAAGCGTAACATTAGAAAAAAGGAAGCATCATCATCATCATCATCATCAAGTGAGAGTGAAGAAGAACAGCGACACAGGTTTGTGCTTCATGATTAATTCTCATGTTTAGCTGCATTTTATACTAAATGTTAAACTCATTGCATATTATGTTCAACGTATTTGATAAAAATAACATTTTGAATGTAGACAACATTTTGCATGATTGTTATCACAGTTTGAATGAATATGTATACATGAATTGAAATGTTAAAAGTTGGATATTTTTTTTTTATTCCAAGTTTTTAAAAAGAAAATAACTACCAACAAATTAAAATGTTAATGTTGGATATTTTATCATCATCCCAAGTTTTTAAAAGAAATTAACTACCAAAGGGAAAATTAAAATTATTAATAAGACATATTTCTAAATTCTTGTTTTTCTTTTTAGTAAGAAACGAAGATTTAAAGATGATACTAGCTCGGATTCGGATGAATGGAACAAAGAAGAGAAAGAACGGTTAAAAGATCTAAAAGAGCGTGATGAGTTTGCGAATAGACTGAAAAGGAAAGACAAGGATAGAACAAGGAATGTTGCTGATAAGTCGAGCAAAGAGGTGTGTTAATAGTATAATGCAGGGGCGGTGCCAGGAATTCTGCGACGAGGGGTCCAAGCCTTCCGACAAGGGGTCCACGCCCCCCGCCAGGGAAGCCTAGTCCCCCCACCCCTACCCGGTCGGGGGAAAATTAATTTGTCGGGGAAAAATTAATTTGTCGGGGAAAAATTGAATTTGTCGGGGAAAAATTGAATTTGTCGGGGGATTTTTTTTTATTAAAAGATAAAATGTTGTGTTAATTGTAGGCTTCTTTATTTAAAAAGGATGCCGGTGGTACTAGTCCTCCTGTCGGGGGTACTAATCCCCTTTCGGGGATACCATTCCCCTGTCGGGGAAGAGCTGACGCACCACTGCGAATTTCCATGATAGGTGGTGTCCAAGTAGTTGGTCCAGAGTTCCCGGACGGGTGGTCCTTTTCCCCCCTGGACCCCCCGCTAGTGCCGCCCCTGGTATAATGTTAGTAATTATTTGGAAATTGTTTTTGAAACAGCAGCACACATCACAGTGATGTTGCATCCAAACAAAAAACAAAAGCAAAAAAATCAATCATGAAGAAAAAACTGAATGCCAGAAACATCAAAAGGGCAGAATCCTAATACAATGTAAAGAAAAAGGGAATACAATAGTACCCTTCCTTTGGGACACCCCAATTCAGGGGACACCCCTATTCAGGGGACACCCCTATTAAGGGGACACTTTTCCTTGAAACGAGAGGCAATATACAGTATTTTTACCACTACGGTCAACTCATTTAAGGGGACGCGGACACTTTTTAGTGTGCTAAATGGTTTGTTTAATCCCTATTCAGGGGACAATTAAAAAATAAATCTCATCACAACCAAAAAATGAGAAAAATGGTTTTTTAATAGCAATATAAAAAATTAGGGTTGGATTTTTGTGACATAAGGGCGGTCGGGCGTGGCAAACAATACTTTTTTTTTTATTTGGCCTTAAAGGGACAATATTAGATTCTCGGTTAGTGTCACTTGAATAGGGGTACTCCTATTTGTTGGGCACCTCTATTAAGGGGACACTTTTTTTGGAACTGGATGTCTCACCTTAAGAGGGTTCTACTGTACCTTAAAACAAAACGGTTAGATAAATGTACATATAGCGGTAACAATCTTTTGGTTAAAGCCAGAAATTGTCAAAACATTTGTTTAAATTGTGGGTTCATTCCCGTAAAAAAGCGATATCTAAAAGTCATGATAAGTTGTTTACATGAAATGCATGACTATGAAAGTTAATTAACCTTGTTACAGGCATATGAAGAAGCCAAGAAAAGGTTGGAGATGGAAGAAGAAGATAAGAAAAAGATGATACCAGACATTAGAAAAAAGTCTCGGCGGAAGTATCTGGAGATGAGGAAAGGAGACAAGCTTGATGAGCTGGAGATGGATGTGCTAGATGAGGAATATCTATATTCTGGCTTGAAGTAGGTCGCATCATTAAAGGAATATAAATTTTATTTTCTTGTAATTTATCGATTATTTTTGTTACTTGTCTTTATAGCTATTTACTTTTGTAAAAAGCACATGGCCATCATTGACTGAATTGCATTAGATGACATAGTATTGCAATAAACATGAGAGATCCTATTTCCAAATGTTTCACAATAACTGTGTTTTTGATTGGCCAGAAGCTGCATCATTTGATTAGTTTCTTTTTCCTGTATATTTTTATGATCAATGAGACGTGTGATTCAAATCCATTTTTTGTCATCCAATACTTCACTGCCCAGGCCTCAAAAGAATGGTTGTAAAAGAAGTAAGCCAGATCATAGCTTCACTTCAAAATAATTTGAAATTAATAGGCAGACCTTCATGATTTGGTTTTGTCTTTATCTTGACTTCTACAGACTGTCTGAGAAAGAAAGAAGGGATGCTGAATATAAGAAAACTATATTGCAATTAACTAAGAACTACAAGAAATCAGGAGATAAAGAGAGGGAAGAACGCTACCATATGCCGACAGATGATGCGGTAAGTTAAATCATTAAATATTGGTCATACAGTTTTAGACATTTTGGTCCTTCATAAACAATTGAAACCATCATCACAAAATGGGATGGATATGAGAAACCAGAAACCAATACCAATACCGCAAAAGGTTGGATGGGTACGTCCCACACAGGAACCATGAACCAGTTCCACAAAGTGGGATGTACATAATACCTACACATATGAATCACAAACCATTACCACAGGGTGAGAAAGATAAATCCCACACACTGTGGAACCATGAACCAGTACAACAAAATGGGATGTACATATCTTCACAGATAAACCACAAACCAGTACCACAAGGTGAGAGAGATATATCCCACACAATCAACCAGTTCCAGAATGTGGGATGTATGTGTTGCACACACATAAGAAGCACAAACCAACAATTCATTTCAAGCTATCGCATGGAAGAAAGAGATTGAAAAAGAAGAATGGAAAGTTGTTATTTCTTTCCACTAGCGTCAACATGTTGAAGACACTTGGCTGTCATTAACCATGAAAATGATTGACCTACAGAGCCATTAACAGAGATCATTTTTAAATTTTATTTTATAAATGAATACCTGTCACCCAAGTTGGGACCCTTATCAGGTACTCTCCTCATAGGTCAGGGGGTCCTGGACATCGTTGGACATTATCGTTGGGCAGAGGCATTCATTGCCCTGATCAGGTCAAGTCTTGCCTAGTGCAGGACAATCGTTACAAACTATAACCAGGCTATTGGTGATGTGGCATAATTCACAACCAGCATTTGTGTACTGGAAGCTGATAATGACACTGCCCCAGAACTATAGTACGACAATTTAATCAAATTTCAAATGAATTAATCATGCAGAAACCTCAAGAAAGATATGTTGAACCTAAAGGTGATGAGAAAGTTGCAGGCTACGAGCAGAAGAAATGGGAAGAGGAACAGATGAAGATGGGACAGATGAGTTTCGGTGCTAAGGATGCCAAAAAGAAGGTGAGCCAATATATACCATTGTCGCACATTTCGTTCATAATGCAGATTTTCTGGTCAAACTTACCGGATAAGTTTGACCAAAAAAAAAAAATGCCTGCATAACTTTTGTCTTGGTCAATTAAACCAAGCCAAGTGGTAATTTTTAACTAGGTGAATCATGTCCTACTATTCTAATCAGGGGTGATTTAGGGGGTGGGCCGGGCCAGGCCTGCCCAGCCCCCCCCCCCCCATTCTTCTTGGAAAGTAAAAAAAAAAAAAGGAAAAAAAGAAAGAAAGAAAAAAGAAAAAAATTGATCGCCCAAAATGCCTTAGAGGTTTTTTCGGGCATCTAGAAAACAAAAATTTTGCAGCGGAATGCCCCTGGACCCCCTAGGATGGTGTTATCTCGATTATCCCCATTTTTTAGCCCCCTTTCAGCCTCCACCCCTTTTCAGACATCTCTGGATCCGCCTCTGATAATTGATTGGCTTTAGTTAAAAGATTACCATTCGTTATTGTAACTTTCTAGTTGTGTTGTTCTTTCAGCATACTAAGGAGTATGACCTAGTAGTATTGGATGAGTTTGATCAGATTGACTTTGTGAGTGCACTTCAAATGCCTGCTTCTGGGGAGCCTCAGGTTTGTAAAATTATACTTAGCATCATTCTACACCTAAATTTCAGCCAATTATCCATATATTTTGTTATTCATTTATTTATACATTTTATTATTTATTTTTTTATTTTATGCGATAATACTTTTATTCATTGTAGAATGGAACAACTTATGACAAATATTCTGGTCAAATTCAGTTACATTGATTAGAGCAACACGTAAAGCAGGTCTTCAAAATACAAATACATTCACATGGTTTCTATATAATGTGATTCAAATAAATGACCATTGGTCAACAAAAACATGTTAATGATTCCCTGTACAGTGATAAAAACAATATAAATACAAAGAAAAATACTAGAAATAATAGTATATTTATATAATATATGTATTTCCTTAAACAGACACAGATGAAATACTATGTATATTTATGTATATTCATGTTAGGAGCAACCAAAGATGTCACAAGCCGAGAAAAAACGGATGAGCATTAAAGAGACGAGGGAGAGTCTGCCGGTGTTTCCATTCCGTGAGGATCTCCTGAAGGCCATTGAAGAGCACCAAGTGCTTATTATTGAAGGTGAGACAGGCTCTGGGAAGACCACACAAGTTCCTCAGTATTTATCCGAAGCTGTAAGTGTGGGATCACATTTATTTCATATTATAATGATATTAATATTTATATTTTTTTACAAATTATAATTATAATAATAATATTGTTGTTTTATTATTGTTAGTTTACTGTATTTATTTGTATTTGTATTATTATTAGTAATATTTTGTTATTACTGTATTATTTTCATAATAATTATTAATATTTCTACTGTAGCATTACCAGATTTATTGTAGTTTTAATTATTGTCATTGCTTACTACAAAATTCCAGGGGTCATCTGTTCCATTTATTGCCAAGGGGTGTTTAAATTTATAGAGAATTGGCAAGCCATTTTGTCTAGGCATCTTGTCAATAGAGATTTATACAATGCAGTCATCAGCCTGTCAGGCAACTGCTGGCCAATGGCCTCCTCAAATTCTCTGGTCTGTTCTTTGCCAGATTTGTCCAGTTCACACCAAGCTAATTCTGGAAATGACAACTCCATCTCTTGTTTGTCAGTATGTTTGTGTTATTGTCATTGCCATCTGTTGGTAATATTATTGAAGCTGTGTCTATTTCTTTTATAGGGCTACACTAAGGATGGGAAAAAAGTAGGTTGTACACAGCCTAGACGTGTAGCAGCAATGAGTGTAGCTGCGAGGGTAGCTGATGAAATGGGCGTGAAGCTTGGTAATGAGGTAAACTTGCCTAGACATACTGTATTCTGTTGAACACTGAGGATGCACAATTTACCAATCAGTAATAATCAGTTGTTGAAGTGGCCAGCATGCGTAGACAATAACAAAAGCAATGTAAAATATACAAAAATTAAAATGGATGGTAAAAGCAATTAGATGGCTGGTCTTTGCATTGTGAGACTTTTGATTTTCATGTGGACACAAGCAGCATTTGAGTTCGTTTAGAAGACAATTATCAAATACAATATATACTATATATACTTTTTGCGATTCATTGTCATAACCAATGAACAGTTAATTACCATTTTCAAGTATGTAAATCCTTGCCGAGCCACTAGTGCTCATAGGACTGCAACTTATCCCCAGTTTCTGTTGCATGAAGCGGATGAAAGTGTAGTACCCCCCTGGGTGGGACACTGGTCCACTGCAGGTTACTCCCAGCAATTTGCTAGTACACATTAATACAGCTGGGTAGACTGAAGCAATGTAGATAAAGTGCCTTGCTCAAGGACACAAGCGAAATGCACAGTGAATGATTGAAACCCTGACCTCAAGTTTGGAAAACCAAACCATTCCCACTGCGCCGAACCACTTCCACTATTTGTTTTTCGAAGATGATTGTTTTTCAAAGATGATGTTATTTAATGTATTCATTACAATTACTTTCTGATTTGTTATCATTTTGTTTAGGTTGGTTATAGTATTCGTTTTGAGGATTGTACTTCCGATCGTACTGTCCTTAAGTACATGACGGATGGTATGCTGCTGAGAGAATTCCTTAGTGAACCAGACTTGGCTGGATACAGGTAAATATTCAAGGTCTACCCTTTAATAAAAACAGAATAGTTTTTCAATCACTGACAACATCACAACACTAGGCAATAATGTCCACAACACTTAGCAACATTCTCCACAACACCTTGCAACATTCTCCACAAAACCTAACAACACTGTCCACAACACCTAAATTAGCCTAGATAAAAACTACAGTAACACAACACTTGTGCCTAAGTATACAAAGCATATTATCCCATTGTGGAATCAAACTGAAAACCTTCTTTCACTGTTTGTTTATTTGTGCATAATGATTACGAACTCTTGTGATGGTTTAGTTACACATCAATGATTGTAAACCTAGGTGCCAATGCATTGATTAGTATTTGTTGTATGAATGTCTGATTGAACTCAGTTTCCTATTTCCTACATTTATGATACACAATATGAACAAGTTTTGTATGGTGATGTTTTAATTCTCCCTATATGATGTGTCGTACACGAGAGTAATACACATCGTAGTGATAATAATTCAAAGATGGTAGTAATAATTAAAAACAGAGTACAGTATATATTGTTTTAACCTTGGTCAGGTACTCCCTTGTTAGAATTCTGATTATATTTTTGTTAATGACAGTGCTCTGATCATCGATGAGGCTCATGAGAGGACGCTCCACACTGATGTCTTGTTTGGTCTTGTGAAAGACATTGCTCGCTTCAGACCTGACCTCAAGCTCTTGATATCCAGTGCAACATTAGATGCTGAAAAGTTCTCTGATGTGAGTTATTTTGTCACGTTATGCATTATAGTTTTAATGAATACTAATAACGATCAAAGAATCATCAAAAGAGAATATCCAATTTCAGATAGATTTTACTGTGGAATTTGAATTTAAAGGTGGCTTACTTTCTATTTCTAGCCAATTTATTGTAATAAATCATCATCATATTTTGTTTTTGTTATTTTTTTTAGTTCTTTGATGATGCTCCTATCTTCAGGATCCCAGGAAGGAGGTTTCCAGTGGACATTTATTATACAAAGGTAAACAAATCATTCAATACTAGCTTGACCTATGACATAGGCGTGTTAAGTTGAAACTATTAGCAGCTCATGTAGGCACATCTGTATGCTATATGGCTTATCTTAAGGTTTTTGCACAGAATTGTACAAAGTCAACTATTTATAGAATATATATTTTTTTTTTTTTTTTTGTCGCAAGGCTCCAGAAGCAGATTACTTGGATGCTTGTGTGGTGTCAGTGCTGCAAATACATGTTTCACAACCACCAGGAGATATTCTCGTGTTTCTTACTGGACAAGAAGAGATCGAATCATGCAATGAAATGTTACAGGCAAGCCAACATTTATTGTACATCATATAATAGTGTAGGAGTTTATCAAACATACATTGTACTCATTGTGATAAAATTCAAAATTCTTCAAAAGATGTAATTAAAGCATTCGTTTTCTCATTTAAAAAGATCAATGAGTTATATCAACTTGTAAAGAGGCACGCTTAGCTAACTTAAAACTAATCTTCCTACAAAAATTGAAGTTTATTGACTGCTATTTAAAGGAGTGTGTGTAAAGCCCTGTCCACACTATCAAATTTTATTTGACAAAAACATGTGACATGCCTAAATATGGTCATGATGACATCACATGACCATATATAGGCATATCATGACTAAATATGGGCATACAACAGTTTTTTTGTCAAAAGTTGATAGTCTGGACGTGGCTTAACAAATATGAGAACCTTTATTATATGTACATTTGCTAATTGGTAAAGTTATATATGCATTTCAAATGCATTTTTTGATTTACTTCTACATAGGAAAGAACAAAGAAACTTGGTTCCAAGATAAAAGAATTAATCATTCTACCGATCTACGCCAACTTGCCTTCTGACCTCCAAGCTAAGATATTTGAGCCGACACCACCAGGTGCTCGAAAAGTTGTTCTTGCTACCAACATAGCAGAGACTTCACTCACCATTGATGGCATTATATACGTCATTGATCCAGGATTTTGTAAGCAGAAGAGCTACAATGCAAGGACTGGTATGGAGTCTCTACTGGTTACTCCTATTTCAAAGGTATATTGGAGTGTGTTTTTAGATCATTACCTAACTTCCTGAGCTGCCATTGGTGCTTGTGTAATTGTGGCAGCATGAAAGTTTAGTAATATATTTTACAAAAGAATAGCATATCTGCTAGTATATTCGTTCCTAGCTGTACACCCTGTATTACAGTGAATATGTTAAAGTTTGCCAGTAAATACCCTCACCTCTTGGAAGGATAGGTGAAGGGTATTGCAATAGGGCATATGTCTGGCTGTGTGTGGTATGTGTGTCCTTGCTTGTGCATATCTTAAAAACTATTTGATCGATTTACTTTGAATTTTCACACATTGACAATGTTACATGTATCTCGATCCTTCTCAAATTTGGTGCTGATCGAAAGTAAGATGCAGATTTTAGAATGTTAAATATTTTCCGGCCTCAACAGCCAACAGCAGAGCCAACTCAAGCAGATCATCAGCCTTTTTTGTTTGTTTGTCGGCCATTATTTTTTGGTATAGATATGGTGCAGCAGGGCAAGGATTTGTAATCTCAGATTGTCTTGTGTGTTATTTGTTTAGGCATCCTCCAACCAACGTGCTGGTCGTTCGGGGCGAGTGGCGGCTGGTAAATGCTTTCGTCTCTACACGGCTTGGGCCTTCAATCATGAACTTGAAGAAAATACCATTCCAGAGGTAAGTCATATAATGTAATTGAATTGATGTGTATTCTATATATAACTATATAGCTTGAGTATTTCATTTTTCTTTATTTATCCTAATTTTTCTTCATTTTTGTTAATTATTTATTTTGTCAATTGGTATTTTCAGATTCAGAGAACAAATCTAGGAAATGTTGTCCTACTCCTGAAGAGTTTGGGGATTAATGACTTGATTCATTTTGATTTCATGGACCCTCCACCCCATGAAACACTGGTAATGGCATTAGAACAGCTATATGCACTTGGAGCTCTCAACCATAAGGGAGAGCTAACAAAGTTAGGTCGTCGGATGGCTGAGTTTCCAGTTGACCCAATGCTCTCAAAGATGATTCTAGCATCTGAAAAGTAAGTTTCACTTTTTAGCTCTGATGAGGAGCACTACAAACACTCGGCTGATTGATTAATAGATTTTTTTAGCTCTACTACCTGTATTATACTGCCCTCATGAGGCTGATTGGTTAATAGTTGATTGATTAATAGATTTTTTTAGCTCTACTACCTTTATTATACTGCCCTCATGAGGCTGATTGGTTAATAGTTGATTGATTAATAGATCTTTTTTAGCTCTACTACATCTATTATACTGCCCTCATGAGGAGCTCTAGAAACACTTGGCTGATTGATTAATAGTTGATTGATTAATAGGTCTTTTTAGCTGTACTGCCTCTGTTATACTGCCCTCATTAGAGGTTACGAGAACGTGTTTATTTTGTTTTATGGAAATGTTTTTTCAAAATTATATTATATATATATATTGAATGAGTGACTAAATTTCATTTTATCCTATTCACCATGTTCTCTTTTATTTAAGGTACCAATGTTCTGAAGAGATACTCAGCATAACAGCCATGTTGTCTGTAAATGCCTCCATATTCTACCGTCCAAAGGACAAGATAGTTCATGCGGACAATGCAAGGGTGAATTTCTTCGTCACGGGTGGAGATCATCTTACACTTCTTAATGTTTATAATCAGGTCAATATTGTTTTCTCTTTTTTGTTTTACAATTAAGTAAATAATTTTGCTCATAATTGACTTTAGATAAATTATTACTAGGTACTGTAACAATAGTGTACATTAAATATTTTTGGTATCAAGTATTGATATTTTAGAGACAAATTATGAAAATGAATGGGTGCTACATGTATAATTTATGATATTTTCTAATGAAACATGTAAGCCACTGTTTCCATAAAACAGCTTTTAGTGATTCTTTTTGGTCGATCTATTGTTATATTATTATATTATTAACATGAAGAATGTCTTCTTCGATCGTGATTGGTAAAAAATTACATTCATTAGTAAATTTATTGTTTTAATTATTGTATTTCATTAATAATAATTAAATCAATAAATTTACTAATGAATATTGTTTGAATTATTATTACTGTATTAATTTTAGTTATTCGTGCTAATGTAGAAAAAGTAGTTGTGAGTGTTATTGTTTGCCATTTATTAATTATCCTTATATGCTGCAGTACATTTTTAATTGCAGTGGGTTGAAACAGGTCACTCTACTCAATGGTGCTTTGAGAACTTCATACAGCATAGATCAATGAAAAGGGCACGAGATGTGCGTGATCAGCTTGTAGGTCTTATGGAGCGTGTAGAAATTCCATCTTCAAGCAACCCGCAGGACACAATTGCAATTCGCAAGGTAATACAAAGAAATCAACCTTATTATTATTATTATTATTATATAATTTTTTATTATATTTATATATTTATATTTAATTAATGTTTATTATATTACTTTATTATGTAACTATTCAGTGATTATAGTAAAAAATTAAATTTTAAGGTATATTTTATTACTTCATCCATTATGTCTGTAAATTAGCTATTTTTGTTGGATTTTAATGACCATATAGGCCTAAATTTTGTTGCTTTCATGTCCTGAACAGTTGTGTGCATAATTACTTTTGTGGAGATCATAAAGAAAAGTTAGTAATGTATTTGAATTAAAGTATTACATAAGGATATAGATGTAAACTACCCAATAAACAATGTGGAGCAACAAATATGTGGGGTACTGCAGGAATCAGACACAGGGGAATTTGGAGGACCATTCCAATGCTCTGCCAGTTCAGCTAAACCTCCTTAGCTCATAACAGCTGTTGCCACCACAGTACATTCTTTTCTCATGCTTAATTCATTCATTCATTCTCATTTTTATTCAAAAATAGTTATTAACGTAAATATATTTCTTTATGTAGCATCTTTTTGATAGTACAAACTGAATTGGTAACTGCTATTTGCATCTGTCTTCCTTTTGTAGGCGGTCACAGCTGGTTTTTTCTACCACACAGCCAAGTTCAGCAAAGGAGGGCAGTATAAGACTGTCAAACATCAGCAGTCTGTCATGATCCACCCTAATAGCAGCCTCTTTGAGGAGCAGCCTAGATGGGTTATCTACTATGAACTTGTTTTCACTACAAAAGAATTTATGAGACAGGTAAATTATTATTTAATTATAAACAAATTTAATGAATATGTATTATTATTGCGTAGAATAAATTCCTCTGCTTCCATAGATTGTTTGAAAAGCACTTTCATTAATGTTGTTTTCAAGTGCTGTTAGCCACATTTTATGAAATTCTTTGATAATTTTCTTAAACTGTATGAACTCTGAGTAAACTTAAATGCAGCACCTAAAGCCTCTTTCCACTTGCGAATTTATTCGCTCGAGTCGAAAGCGTTGGTTCATGCACATGCATATTCACATTACTATCGGAGTTTTTGCTTCAGTTTCCACTGTTTGCAAAGCGAAAAAATGCGCAGAGCTCAGGAACCGAACCAGTGCCTTCGATTCGCTCAAATAAATTCGCCTAGTGGAAAAGAGGCTTAACAACCCTCTTATAGTTGAACATTTTATCACCTGCCAAATCCTTAATTCAGTTTACTTTTGATTGCATTCGTAGGTTATTGAGATTGAAAACCAGTGGCTGTTAGAAGTAGCACCTCATTATTACAAATCCAAAGAGCTTGAAGATGGTTCAAATCGTAAAATGCCAAAAAATACAGGAAAATCACGAGATGAAACAAGGGTTACATAAATGGATATGTACTGAACTATGGTTCCCAAATTTGGAGAAGCTACTTCCCAGGAGATCTTAAACAAATCTAAGTGTATTTTGGTGTGTGTGATAATAACCATTGCAGAATGGCTTCAGGGAGACAAGTAATACACTAAAAACATGCAGACTGGAAGGTTTTTACTTGCTTGTGCGAGTGCAGGGGACATTTGATTTCCAGGTGGACTCCTGTGACTTGTGAGAACCCGAATTTAAAATTTCAACAGCATGAATGGATAAAAATTTAAATGCTAGCAACTATAAAATATATTACTGTATGTTGTGAGAGTACATAATGATGATGTATTTATACTTCATTGAGTATTACCAGGGTTTTAGTTATAATTAGGCAGATAGCCAAATCCTTATAGCTTCAATTTTCGTTCAACATTAGCCATAAGCTAATGAGTTAAAACTTTCAATTTATATTCTTTTGCTTTGGTTATAACATTTCTACTTGCCTAATAATTTTCATACCAAACAAAATTGCTAAACATGATGTAGTTCTTAAACCCTGTATTACTATTATTTTTTAAATTATGATATACCTGCCATTTTCACATCTACATAACTAACAAGCTAAATTCACAATAATTTTTGTGGTAGTAGACATAACTTGGCTCTTGCAATATTGAAGTACGTAATTATATACCAGTATATCAAACACATTTAAAGGATACCATGCTTAGAATGTCTGTATTTATTTATTGTTTATTATAGTATATTTATTCAAAATGATAAACATCAGAAATGGGTTTCTTGATATGGATTGTTATTTAGAATTCCAAAGGATGCAGATGGACCTTTTTGCTCATTCCTGCCCTCTGGATATTGTTGCTAAGGTATAACAAAATGGAAGCATAAAATGTACAGAAATATGTGCATTTGTGGGACAAAAAAAAAACAAGTGTTTGTGGGACAAGCTTGTATTGCTGGCTCTGTTCTGATTGGTCAAGTTTAATTGACCCTTCAGAAACGTCTTGGTAATAGTAACAACAGTTGTATAGAGTACCACAGTCGTGTCGTCACAATGATAGGTGACGCCCTCTGTTGCCAACCAGATGTTGGTTACCGTTCATTACGCCTGAATGACTTCATAGGTTTTCTGGAATAGGCGTTTTCTGTTTTGGCAATTCACAATTGAATAACTGCACAGTAACAGATCGTTGACTTCTTTAGTTCTTTCTAGGATTGGTCTTTTATCAGTAGACTTATGTGACATCACATTTTGTATCTTCTAATAGCTTATGAAAGCGTCTCATCATTCCTCCAACCGGATTTATTCTCAAAACTTACATGTGGGACGATATATAAGTGTCGTAACATTCCCCTGGGCCAGTAACACACAAACGAATAAAGACAGGCAATGCTAATGATAGGGTCTGTTGTACAACTATTATGCTATTGACTACGGAATTTACTTTGAATATTTACAAATTGTAAATTTAGTGTTCCTGCATTTTTGCATCTGCACAATGTCATTTATTTGCATATTATTGTTACCAAGCATCTACATTCATAATAAATATATAAATATAAAATTTGTTATTTTCAGTAATGAAGATTAAAAAGGAATCTTATATCTCATTAACAGACAATCTATCTTTAAGCCTTGAACATTGAAGTTGCCATAAGGTGCAATCCAACAGTATCGGCTCTACCCCCTGAGCCCAGTTAGTCAACATTCGCTCACCCCACACCCCCAAATGGAAATCCTTTGATATGGCCCTGATTAGTGCTAGATCTGAAGCCCCCTGGACTGAAAGTTACGAGTATTTGCCAAATTTGGGTGAACTTTATTAGTCCGAAAGTAGAGAACTGGGGCTGATGTGGGTGTGGATCCCCGTTGAGAAAATTAGAATCTCACCCACTGGTAAATAACCAATAACCCTCTGTGGGTGAGTGGGAATGGGGATAGGAAATTCTTCTCGCTGGCCGAACCAAAAATAAACTGCTTCCTACGGTCCTGCCCCTGGATACGTCCCAGTTTCTATACAATTCAATTGTACAATAATAGTTTAAATAATATTTTGTCAGAAGCTATGGTCCACTGTCGTTATGAACATTTATATATCATTTCCTAAAACTTTGTAGGCCTTCTTCCCAAAGTGTTGCGTTGTCAGAATGTTCGTAATCGGAGCACTGTCTAGTCCACATCAGGGACTGGACCAGAGCACTTAGAAATAATGTTTTGGGTTCTTTTAAAGTTGATACGATTTATTTTGTACAGTAGGTTGTTTAAACAGGGCTTACGGTTTATAGTCCTTGACTTGGTACTACCACCCAAATGTTTCGAACCAGCTCCGATGTAAGGCTCCAGAGTGATGATCTTTAATAAAGTTAAACATGCCAAAACAAAGTTATACTGAAGCCAAAATCAACCAATGGTTATTCGTTAATACGTACCTATTACAGATAAAATCCCTACTAATGTTAGTACCAGTGCAAAGAACCTAAAACAAAAATTCCTACCTTAAATCCAAACAATGGCGTATCCAGCGGTGGGCCATAAGGGCCTGTTCC